ATGCGCATTGTTTGTCTGTGTGACAGTTAAATGTAGAGAACTATCACTCCACCCTAAAGCTCTGATCAATTTAAATTGACATAAGCCATTTCAGGGCTAATTGATTTTTATGGAACTCGGAATCTATCATACGGACCACCTGCCAATTACCCATCACCTGCCAATCACCCATCACCTGCCAATCACCCATCACCTGCCAATCACCCATCACCTAGTTCAGAGGTGGGCAGTATAGCGCGCTACATGTAGCGGCCGCTACATTTTCATTAGCGGTAGCGGTAACGGCGCTACATTTAAGGCAATGTAGCGGTAGCGGTATAGCGCCCGCTACATATTTAAGTAGCGATACGAAGCTTTGCCGCTACAGCGCTACCGCTACATTTATAGATAAAGCCTTTAGATTTTACTTAATAGTATTAAATATTATTTAAAAACCAGCATGATACATACATAATATAAATTACAGAATAAAACTGTACGAAAGATTTCGTTGTAATGTTGTCAACCGCAGCCTGTTACTAGTGTCAACATGTTAGTTGTTACTTGTTAAGTTGTTACCAGTTACCACTTACATGTATTTTTTCATGTTTCAGTTTGCTTACAGTTATTTTTACACAGTTATTTTTAGGTTTAACCTTCCCTACATGGATGTCTACTTTAATCTACCAATCTCAAAAATAATCCACATATATATACAAATAAAGACTGATTTTTTATATGTATATGTGGATAATTTTTGAGATTGGTAGATTAAAGTAGACATCCATGTAGGGAAGGTAAAACATAAAAATAAGTGTAAGTTTTGTTTACTGTATCTAACACGTACTATGTAGTTCGGTTAGATTAATTGCAATAAAGTTGCATTGATATGGTTCGAAAATGTTTTATTATCATTAAATGCATATGAGTAAGTCCCAATAGCAGAACAATAAATATTTAGAGATTTCCAATAATTTTGGCTATTGTAGCGGCTAATGTAGCGGCGCTACATTTTACTGTAGCGGTAGCGGTGGCGCCCGCTGCATTTAGAGCATGTAGCGGTAGCGGCCGCTACATTTCAAAGTAGCGCTGCCCAGCTCTGCTTATGTTCTAAATTGTCAATGGCAAATACGTTCATCCTACCTCGATTGCGCCATTTGTGCTGTTGAATTTCGTATTAAATTCTGAAAACTAACCTGAGAAACCACTTAAATAAGAGAATTTACGTTCTTGAAATTCGAAAAATTTGAACAGTGATGAAAAATGCTTTGCTAATTTCCTTTGTTTCACAATAAACTTTGATTACATTTTTTTCTGAAACATACTCTACACATATGTTAGATAAAATTAATAATAACAATTCATTATTAATATTATTTTATGAGTTCCAGGATATATGAGGTTTCATCCTGAGAGATCCGACGTAGGGCACAGCGCAGATAAAGAAGTTATCTTGAGAACCCGTAAGCCTTTCCTGCATTTCCGGTCATACATGCAGGGAGCTTGCCTAGCATCCGGAGCGAGTGTCGCAAGACCAGGAGTGGTCCAACGTCGTCAGTTGTACGTGCACTCACTGTCGCCACCGCTGGTGTATGCTAGTGGTATTCTCTTTCACATTCATTTAAATTTTGTTGGTTAATTTTCGTGACATGGTAGCGCTCGCTACCATTTCATTGTCGTGAAATGGTAGCGGCCGCTACTAGCGGCCGCTACATGTAGCGCGCTATACTGCCCACCTCTGAACATAAGCCAGTACTCTCTGCCTTATGTCGCTAGAAGGATTTTAATTGTACTTATAGAGTATGGAGGCACATGACAATAAATACATACACCGTTATACCGTGAAAAAGTCTCAGTCCGAGTAGAATGTGACGGCAGTTAGAAATTTGAGTCATTAGTGTGCTGTTAGTGGAACATTTTTCGCAGTCAGGAATAAAAAGTCAACGTAATGGATATTGAATATGTTATTCTATTGTGTATTGTATTGCAGTCCGAAGCCCAATTATTAATCTTCAAAGTAAACATGTATTATCATAAATTTTAAATTTGAACGACATTATTACAAGAGATAATAGTGAGATGTATCACATTAATATATGATATTCGTACCACGGATTATTGCGTATTTTGGTATGCGAATGCCCTTCCATAATTCTGTTCGCCATTGCTCGCTTCGCAAGTTATTCCAAACTCTGCCCCACTTTATTTCTGCTTACGTCGGTGTTCATCATGAACTCTATTATCAGTAATACTGTTAATATTTTTACAGTTGTTATAATTTAACATGGCTTTCTGTGTGATACTCTCACGTGGAGCAATAGGTATTATAGTAATTTGTTCATGTTTGCCAACGGTTCAGCATGGCGCAGGGTAAGTGCATGTCTTACTAGGCAATTTAATGTCTCTTTTAAAATATCTCAGCTGACTTTATTCACTACTTTTGATAAAACCTTAACCTTCTACCGCCGTATACCACTCTCTGGGAACATAACTTTCAACTTAAATTATACGCAAACTATTGAGTGTAGCAAACTGAGGACGTTTGCACGCAAAAGAAAAAATTTCAAAGTTGTCGTACGTGGTGCAAGTCATTTTGCGCTCACTAGAACGCAAATCCTTTTTGCGTTCTAGGGAAGTCGGCTTGTGACAATATTGCTCCGGTTACTCATGTCAGGCGGATATAGAGGGCTAAGGATGAAATACTATTTTTACAACACTTTCACGAAATTCCGAGATCTTCATTTTCGTGACTTCATTATAGACTTCACTTCTTGTTTGTTTGTTTGTTTGTCTGCTACAAATCTTATAATCGATATTCAACACACTTCTACCTGTCCAATCGATCTGAAATTTCCCACACGTGCGTAAAGTCAGAGGCAATGCATGAATCCATTGACCGAATAAATAATTTTGATTTTTTTTACTTTTTAAAATAAAATTTAAAAATTAATTTTTGTATCGTTTGATATTAAAATTAGAAATTCATTGTACATGCATGTGTAACATCGGAGATACTGGATTATTCAGAAGTGTTGTATTTAAAAAGTAATTTTTAAACGCATATTATTCATGTATGCTTTCGATCTCGACATTATTTATGCTTCAACTGATTACCTTCCCTGGGCATTCACTGAAACTGTTGCAGTCAAGCTATGTATTAACCGTGATCCGTAATTTCCCCACCACCTTTTCAAACTTCAACTGAACTGCCCTCCAATGTGCAGCGTGCCTCGTGTATCCTCTCATACCCAACACAACGTCACACATCACTCCTTCCTACGTCATGAAATCGTCACCTCTCGTCCTTTCGATTCTCTCATCAAGAGTGGATCGCAACACACACGATGTAGACATTAGTATCATCTTCACATTTACAAACAATCGGTGAGTACGATGTATCGAAAAAAATTTAATATCTATGTTAGGTCATCACAGCTTGTTATTAATCCATTAATAATAAAACTATTAAATAGTACACTTCATAAATACTGGATAATTTTTTCTATAGCATGCTCTTCCAATTTGAATTATCTATTTTCAGAGATACGTCAGATTTTAGCACATTTATGATATTTTCGTAGGACCGTCGTGGTGAACCTTAAAGAGAAGCTGGCGAACTTCCAAAACTACTTCTCTGGTGTGCTCTCAGGAGAACCAAACTCCTCCAGAAATAGAAGGTAACAACTTTTCCGAGGATTTTTTTATGTGATTAGAAACTTTTTCATGTAGTATCTATTTCTCTAATTTATTCATACACTAGTTTAACATTATTGCGACCTGAGAAATAAACATCTGTACTTCACATTTGGGTCCATAAATTGTCAAGCGGGCATTTAAAAATTAAATTTATCCTCATATCATTAAGCCATTAATTTCAGATCTTCCAAAATTTCATCTCCGCGGGCGGTTTTTGGAAAAATTTTGCCCGACCCTTCACCAGTCCCAACCAACGCGTCTGACGCCCACCGCCTAGCTGGGGAGGAACACCTCTTGGAATGGTGGACCATCTCAGCGCACTTCACTGATAGAGAGGTTTTCGTACGGTAAAACTTTTACAATTGGCAGAAATCTATCAGGTTAGAAATTTTTTATTCTCACCTCATTGCCCTTGATATAAACGGAGAAAGAAATATTCGCATTTTGATGATTCCCCCCAAAATATGTTTGACTCATAAATATCACTTCGCATTAATATTTTTTATGATTTTACCGGTCTATGGTAAAGATTATCATTTCTTATTAAAAAAGTAAAAAATGCCTGGTTTTGGTCAAGATGTATTCAGGAATTTTCATGGTTCATCAGCAATTGTCTTGCTGTTAAAAATGATCAACACATGAAAGTAAGTTTTTGTAGATTTGGGTTTGAAAATAGCGTAAAGCCATGGCATTGCATTAATGCAGGGATTCATAACTCTTCTCTGATTGTGTTCATGAAGCTACGAAATTTATTTGAACAATTGGGAGCAATGAATACATCAGATGCTTATTTTTATGTATTGTTCTTACTTAGAATGCATTGAACTTTAGGTTCTAGCGTAATGTTTCCATTGTCGCACTTTGCATGTTTATGCGCATATTCAATTTCAACCTATTTTTGAATCCTATTTATGACTATAACTTTCACATGACTATAACTTTGAGTTGGCTCATTTGAAAAAGTGGCCAAAGAACTAACAAACTTCATATTAATTTTTTACGATATTTATTCACCCTGATTAAAGGATGATATTTGATAAATCAAAGGCGCGTATTCACCATAAGTTCATAATTTGTGTGTTACACATGCGCATAGTGACGCACGACAAAGCGCTTCTCTCTTATGTCGCCAGCCACGGACGAACTGTTCCATACATGTTTTAGAGACCAGTTCCATAGCTGGTCTCAGAAAGCTGGTCATAGCTCATCGTTATTTCCTCCTTTAAGCTATATATTTTCACCCGTTGCTTTATGAATTAAAACCATGAGAAACCATAAGCTTCACGCCTCAGCCTCCATCGCTACCGCAGGTCCCAGGACGTCTTGGCCACAAAGGCCAGCGTCAGCGGAGTCCTCAGCAAGGAGGCTGTGGTGCGAGTCTCCAGCGCTCGTATGGCCGCGGTCATGTTCGACTGTGTGCACGGTAAACTTATAACTAATCATTCCCAGTTGAATTTACCTGAGTAAAAGTGGATGGAAGTGATTGGGTGCGTTTTGATACACATTCATTGTTGCAATTAGATGATTCTAGAATGCGGCTGCATGCTCACTGAAAAATAAAACAAATAAAAAATTAAAAAAAAAACACGTTTTCTTTTAACGGACAAAAAAGAAAAACATTTACTCCTACATAACATTGCATAACATTTTACATAACTTTAATGTTATGTGAGAGTAAATGTTTTTCTTTTTTGTCCGTTGCGAAAACGTGGTTTTTAAAAGCTTTTTATTTGTTTTATTTCATCATTTTTAGTTTTGTAAAACCAGAAAAACTTGGTTTTAAAAAATGGTTTTATATTTATTTATTTTATACTTTTTAGTTTAGCAATTTTAGCAATTCAAATCAATTTCTAGGGTTGGCAAGTCTGGATGTTCGACAAAAAACTCGATTCCCAACAGTGAAATTTAATTTTTTTCCTTTTTTTCTAATTTTTTTTATCATTACTTCTGATGATCAAATCTTGAATTGTTAGGCAGCATAATTAGCATGCATGCCGAATTTCAAGTTTCTAGGATGTTCAAAAGTGCTCTGAATTAAGGTCTGAATTTTTAATGACAGACAGACAGACACGAAACGAAGCTAAGAAAAACGTGGTAATATCGATGGTGTTTAATAAATTTGAATGGGATCTTAAGTTGATTTGATTTTATTAGTGTTCCGCAATAAACCCATACAATGTCTGAAAAACCATCATAGTTTATTTCTCCTCAATGACGGTTCCAAATTAATTTTGTTCACAAATTTACAACAGTTCCAATGCTACTTTTACCACCTAAACATGAAATTCCCTCAGCATATTTCGTAAAAACTTATAGAGTATAAAATTTTATTTTACTGCATCAACAGACTGCCCCATCTACGCCTCGCCCCTTGACAACTTCTTCCTCCCCCTAAATACAAGCAACCCTCAGGCCGTGATATTCGTGTGTGCTGCTGAGCCAGGCCCTCTCGAAATGAAAAGTTCGACATGTGCCCAGGCCGAGGCAGCTCGAAGTCATTCATTAGTTTTTCAATTCATGATTACTTCATCGCCGGCAATTAACGCCACGGGGGGAATGTGCCTAATTGTTGGGTTCTCCAGTCCTAACTCCGGAGAAACCAGTCAGATAAGCGAGCAGAGCAACATGAGACAGCCTTTTTGTGAGAAGCTTATCGTGGAGCGAGTTGAGGAAGAGCAAGTATGTAAACATGTACACTTCCTTGTTACTTTACGCGAAATTAGGATAATATTAAAATGTAACTATAAGTTGATAATGATTCTAAGTTATGTTTAGACTTCTATTACTGTCGTTAGCAAGCAAGGAAATTAACCTCTACCTGCAATTTACTCGCAAATGATTGTTGGCCATGTAATGAATTACCTGATATTATCTTCATGCTACTTATTCGGAGGACCATCAAATATTTCAGCTATTTTGCTATATTATTACTGTCATTCTGATATTCCACTTAAATGCTGCAATTTCCAAACCACGGATCCAACAGAGAACTAAGCTGCTTGTGAAGTGGCAGAACCGTTCCTCCATCCTGTCCTTGGACAAGCCGAAGCATCTCTCGAGTAAGCTTTTATTTTTTATGTTATGCAATTAATTTATAAGCAAGTTTGATTGCAGGCCAGAGAATTAGTTTTGTTGATCATTTTCTAATTTATGTCAATAATTCGGATTATATTTGTCGTTTACATTGGGAGATCGAAAATCAGGTTACCGAAAAACATTTTTAATATGTTAACAACATTCCGAATGTATCGATATTCATTGTCAAGTTCCGAGATGTATTGAGTAATGAAATATGGATCGATACTACTCAAAAATGAGATTTGGATCGAAATAAGTACAAAGTCCCGTAAATAGGATAATGCTCCTCATTCATCAGTTATCCACGATTGCGCTGAAGTAATATGAATCTTCATTGGTCGATAATAAGAAAATGCAAGTAAAACAAACCTTAAACCCTGTTTATATAAAAACCACAAAGACGTTGCAAAAAGTGATTGAAAATTTTTTAGACTGCGCACAACTCGTAGCATTTAAACGTATTATGGCCCAAATTCTTGCGCTGTTCATTTGGATTCTCATTGGGACATGCAGGGTCGACAGCGGATACACCCGATGAGCCCAAAACGGGCGATGAAGTCGTGTGGTTACATCCGCAGGCGTATAACAACTTCACGGTCTCGTACGATTGCCCTCCTAAACTATACTCTGGACTTAAAGGTGAGTTGAGATCGTGACAGAGGTATTTCTTGTCAAGATGCCTATATTTAATACATACCTGGTTAGTTGGGATCCTGACTGAGGTATTTTATTGTCAAGGTGCCTTATTTAATGCTTACCTAGCGAGTTGAGATCGTGACTAATATTTTCTCGTCATGATGCCTTATTTAATACATACCATGAGAGTTGGGATCGTGACTGTCATATAGTTCCTTGTCATGATGATTAATTTAACTCTTATCTATCTAGAGTTTGTGTTTTCCATGCGAACATTTCTTCGCATATTTAATACGACATTGTAATTTATGATGTGTGATAAGATAATTTTGGTGGTGCTTAGGTTTATAAAAGGGATTCACAAACATTCATTTTTAATAGAGTTTAGTAATACTTTCTTGTCGTAAATCCACTTCAAGGTAGAGACGAGGATGAAATAAGTTCTAAACTGGGAGCGCAATTCGAGGAGGCCCACGGCCACGGACTTTTGTGGACTTCGGTCGTGGTGATTGCCGTGGTTCTGATTGTCATCTGTATAATACTTTTTGTATTTATTAAGCCGAGGTGAGCAAGCAACTCATTATATGCATCTCTCATATTGATCATACTAACAAAAAAAATTGATTAATATAATTTTAGTATCGGAAAAATTGTTTTTGCGAATGGGTAGAAAAACCCTATTATATTTAAATTACTTCACTTATCAATAAGCCCCCTACATTATGTGTGATCTCGCATTCAACATTTAAAGTCTATTTATTCACGAGGATTTATCAAATTCCGGTTCTGATAAACCGTAAATCAATTAAGAAACACTTCATTTAATTTAAATATTCCTCGATGTTATAGGTAATCGGATTTTTATATTGCCGATTGCTCCTTTGGTATCATTCACTTCTCAGTATTCAATTCTAATAACGACATCGTTAGTAGAATTAAGGATTCTACATCCACTCGGCCTTTAAAACAACAAATTAATAATAGCGTCTCATTTTGCCTTTTAAAAGACTTTATACCTGCCTATCACCATCACCTGTGTAGCATCCCTACCTGCCACCTGCCAATCATATCATGACCAGAAATATCAACTTTATTTCACGTTTTGATCAGCCGATTGCTATTCTTCTGTCATTCACTTTACGGCATTAAATACTAATAACTTAACTATATCATGACCAGCAATATCAACTTTATTTAACAAGAAAAACTCCAGCATATTTACATTACTTCACTTATCAATTATAGCACCGTACATTATGCATGATCTCGGATTCAATATTTAAAAGATTATTTAGTCTCGATGATTGATCAAACTCCGGTTCTGATAAACCGTAAATTGATCAAGAAACACTTCCTTTATTTTTTAATTTATATATTCCTCGATGTTATAGGTAATCGGATTTTCATATTGCCGATTGCTACTTTTCTATCATTCACTTTACGGCATTAAATTCTAATAACGTATCTATATCATGACCAGAAATATCAACTTTATTTCACGTTTTGATCAGCCGATTGCTACTTTCCTATCATTCACTTTTCAGCTAATATCATTCACTTTCATTACTAATAACATGACTATATCATTACCAGTAATATCAACTTTACTTCACGTTCTGATCAGCATACGCAATAAGTGGAAAGATTTCTCCGACGACGTAAGCTATCCTGAGACGGTCTCGGTGATCAGCAGCGAAGGCTACCGCCACGGCAGCGACGGCGCGCTCGTCTTCAGCGCTGCTGCTCTGGACGGCGCCAGGCTGCACATGCTCAACGCTGACCGCATGAAGGAACCCACAATCTTTCCTGGGTCTTGTAGTCCCCGGCGTTATAGGGAAGCTGGTGAGTCCATTGCAACGCTGATGAACTTTTTTATCCAACGACTAAAGAAATGTTTTAGGTTCTAAAATTCATTTCCTTTTTTTCTCCGATAATGTTTAAAAAATATAAAATTTTTCCATATGTGAAAGTACTCCGTAGAATGATTTTATGACACATAACACTGTCTTTCGCAGAGGAGGTGTCAGAACCTGGGTCCCCAGAGCCCAGGCGTCTGAGCCGTCAGCACCCACAGGAGCTGTGTGTCTCCAAGCTACCCTTGTTGTAGGCTCTGCGCGTCCGTGTGCGCACAGGACTACTACATAGTTATTAAATACTTATTGTATAACTACAGTACATGTTATATGTTAAATATATTTAAATATATTATAGATAATATAGTTATTAGACAGCTAGGGATCCTAAAATTTAAAGAAGTTCGAAATAAAAAATGATATTTTCAAAGCCAAACATGTCTAAATAGAATGTTCAACTCTGAAAATACTTAAATACAGAATAGAACAGAAGTGTCGGCACTGAAGAAATAGAATAGAAGTGTTGGCACATGGCCTGTTGCTAATTCTTGTACTTTTCGTGACTTGATTCCGCAAGGGATCCGGCATTTGGAACCCGATCTTTCCTTAACTGGCGATTGATTGAGATAGCAGCTGGACTTATTGCCTGGTCCGTAATTTGCTAGGCATTTTAAGACTGAACATATGCTCCTGCATAGCTTCGTCTAGTCTGTTCTTGAAGGCGTTCATACTCGGAAATATGCAATTACTTGTAATTGTTCATACAAAGATTCCAAAAAATGTACGGAAACAGCTCACATAATAACTAGAAATAGATTTGATAATATGCTATAACTACTCTAATTTTCCCAACATATATTCTCTTAGAAACTATATGAATCTAAATATATATAACCCCAAGCACGATGCACATTGTTTGTCTGTGCGAAAGTTTAATGTAGGGATCTATCACTCCACCCTAAAGCTCTGATCAATTTGTGACCTAAGCCATTGCAGGGCCTAATTAATTTCAATGGAACTCGGAATCTACCATACGGACCACCTGCTAATCACCCATCACCTGCCAATCACCCATCACCTGCCAATCACCCATCACCTGCCAATCACCCATCACCTGCCAATCACCCAATCACCTGCCAATCACCTATCACTTGTCTATCTTACTGGACATATCGATCATACCTCCTTGCCACCTGCCAATCACCAATCACCAAGCTTCAAGATGTTGCATTTAACCAAACTAATCACCCGCACGCCGAGATTTACCTTATTGGGAAATATTCACCAACTTGACTTCCTAAAGCACAACGCCTAAGAAGTAGTCGAGGCTCTGTTATAAATTATATAGGAGCCAAAGGACTTAGCGAGAGCTGGATTTTTGGTCAATCCCACATGTGCAAACTATGTGTCTATGGTCGACCATTAAAATCATTTGCTTACCGTGCAAACTTAAAGTGGTCTTCAATTTTGTTCAGCACAACATTTGTGTAGAACTTCTAAGTTACTGGGCGCCTGGTGGTCAACTATCTTTCTACAATGTGGCGCGCTCGCTTAATTAAGTTGCTAATTTATAATCCCATATGGATTAAGAACGTAATCCTTCGGAAATTTAATTGAATTCATTGCTTCGTCAATTCTCTTGCCTATGCGTAAGCACTTTAAAGTTTAAGTGGCGGGACTAAAGCGAATTATAACCTTGCTTTCTATTACCTAAATTAAGTTGATCCAATCTAGCCTAAAATCTGAGTGCTATATTGTTTCACAAACCCTGGCGATTTTTAACTTGCACTTGACTTTGGGAACTTTTAAATTAACAAATTTGTCCGCTGCATTTCACATCTAAAAGAACTAAATGTGCACTTATTTGCAATGAAATGAGGCGATAATTCACTCGGTCCAATTAAAGGTCTCTATATCCAATTAAAGGTCTCGATACGAGTGTATCCGAGTGTGTGTATCTTAGCCTTAATAACATAACATAATATAACATAGTGATGTCGGCGCTACAGAGTAGGCCTGGTGTGGCCTGTCGCCGAATCTTGAACTTTTCGTGACTTATTCACAGAAGATCTAAAATATTGTCATTTGACCGGATATTTTCAAGACTGACGATAGTTTGAAATAGCTATTTCAAGTTCGCCGTCGTTTTTTTTCTAGTATGCATCTTGACAGCGAATCTTTCTTCTTTCAGCGAATCTTTCTTTATGCATCTTCTCGGACGCAAATCTTTCTTCGAGTATCTTGCATTGAGGAGGCAAAGAAACTAACTGTTGAGGCGAGACTTTTACATTTGCTTGTATGAACTGATTCCACCTAATGAATTCAACATTTATTATCAACTACGAATCTGTTACTACAGAAATTAGCAATAAAATTAATCTGACTGAACGTTCTTTATTAGTTTTAATCATTTCTTAATGTTGGTACATGAGCATTATAATAGAGGCTTGCCTCCTGCGAAGGAAAATTTCGGACAACCTTCTTTCAATTTTTTTAAACCACGAAGGCAGTAAAATATCTCAGTTAGATCAGCAACTTGCAAATAAAGCACGATATTAGTTAGATATTGTCTTGTAATATTTTCAATAACATCAAGTATTGAACTATATATCAATATATGTGATGAATAATTACTGTGTGTGGTGATTTGCGCATAAATTATTTTATACTGCTTGGTAATGATAAGATGAATAATTCAAATATCCGTGTAATCGTGCGTCCAGTTCCATAGGGTTAAAGTTTTATAGAATACAAATAAGGTCCAGTAATTTTAAACAAACTAATAATAGATTTAAAAAGTACCGCGTCTCATTTTTCCATTTATAAGTCTTTATACCAAATAAATAATATCTTAAATTTGATTGTAATTATTTAAAACTATCATCTTATTGAATAATCAAATATGCGTGGCATCCTACTGCAAATTATTACATATATTTCATGTTCACATCAAGGGATTTTTATTTGCATTTTCTTTACATGCACGATAAATCAATCGAAAATTCCTTTAAATATGTAGATGTTATCAAAAATATAAATTACTCACTTAAACGTCTCCCATTAACAGCACGATGATGATGATGAACTTATCGTTTTATAAGTCAAGGTTTCACTCGACGATTATCTAAAATGTTTGCAAGGTGCGGAATTTAATATCTGGATGAAAACCTTTCGATGTCGTCTCTAAAACAAATGTTATTTCTTCATTTGATAACAATTATAGTCGACTAGGTTATCTCGAGTGTTTGAAATGGTGAGAAGCTAACGAATTACTTGTTTGCCATCTTAGAGAAGACTAACCTTTAGTCTCCTGATGCAATTTTGATTTCAAATTTTGCCCTGTTGCTGACACCACTGTTAATAATGAGTTCTGGCGGTCGGGAAAAGATTTAACATAACATATCATATCATAGTGATGTCGGCGCTGAAGAGTAGGCCCTATATATATGTGGCCTGTCGCCGATTCTTGTACTTTTCGTGACTTGTTCACAGAAGATGGATGGCAGATAATCGCTACCGATTCTTCCCATGATAAATGTTAGTTATTATTATTGCCGATTGATGAGAGTTCAGCTCCCACCAGAAAATCGCCCTAATGTGTGGTATCAATGATACGTGCAATTTCTCCGTGAGAACCGAATTAATAGTCTCATTAAGAGTCTCATTAAAATTCCCAGAGTTAGCGAGTTGTTAGTGTGGTAGTTGAGCCAATATGTCCTGAGAATTATTGCTGTAAGGAGCTCAGCTGTGATGAGGAGAAGCACTTCAAGATAATCTGCCCAGAAACTTTTTCAAAATTAGTTCATCAAAATATAGGTTTCTGTTTTAACATTATTAACTTAACTCACATCTACGCAAACATTAATCGCAGATTTGTATCCTTGTAAGGCTTTCGTCTATTTGAAATTTGAAATTAATTATATCAATTGACTCGGAAAAATTCATTTCCCACTTACGTTTACCAAAAAAATGTTTTGTGATTCATGCATCAATTTCTTGCTGAGACGATCTCGGGTTATGCAATTTAATTCGCCAATGAAGAACCGTTTGTAAAAAATAAGTTTATCTGTTAAAAGACCGCGAATTCTTCGTACTCACAGAGAGCATGTTGCTGATCATAGATCTTCATAGTTTGCTGATCGTAGGTCTACTGTAGTCTTTATTTAACGAGTTTCATGCGTTCAAGACTAAGTATCTGATTTTGAAATCTAACCATGCTGACGTCTCGTCTAGCAGTTGCCGTTCTCTTGGCTCATGTGACGGTCGCAAGGTGAGAAAATAACTGTGAACAATTTTAGTACTTTAATTTGTAAATTAAATTAGAAATATTAATCAAAACAGTACGTAGATCATTTGATTATTTTCTTTTAAATTATAAATTTATAATGAACGGTCGAACGAAATTTCTGTAGCAGCTCGTGGTTTTCCGTCCCAAAACCGGCGCCAGAAGTGGACGCTGCAGCGGCGTTGCTGGCAGACATCCACCACCAGCACCTAGCAGCCTGCCTGCCCGTCGTGGTCCACAAACAACACGCGCCCCTCGTTCAAAAGGTTACTCTAACCGAGATATCGTCCTGCTCGGTGGACGTATTATCAAAACTCACTTAAGTACTCCGATTTCTCGTCTGTGATTGGTGGGTTCAGTTTAAAAAGTTATCGGTTATTGGCTGACGAAGTTAAGAACTCGGAACTATTTTTGATAGTACGGTTTTTGGGACCATACTATACAAATTCGGTTAATACATGTAGCGACCTCCATGCACGTAATTAACGGCTGATTTCATGTCTATTATTGCTTGTTCAGATTAAAAAGCACTCAGTGATTGGCTGACGGAGTCACGATCGTTAATTTTTTAAAGTTACGGCCCCTGCTCTGGGCGTCAGTCACGTCACATATCTGTAGTAGAACTGCAACACTCTGGCTAGAGATCCAACGACGATTTCTCATTTATGAAAAAAGGTGCTATTTTTCTCGCCATGTCCGTCCATCCGTCTGTCCGTCTGTCTGTCTGTCTGTCCGTCCGCGACTTTACGTTTTCGCCGACGAGAAAATGCGCTCTCTCTCCCTCACTGCAGTGAGTTCTGAGAAATATTTTTTGAGTGTATAACTGTTGATATATTTGTACTATACTATCGTATGAATATTAACGGCTGTATGTGAACAGGTGCTTGTGCTGTCGTACAGCTTTTGATATCATTACGAGCAGAACTGATATCATTAATGCAATACCGTTGACTTAATGGAGGTATGAGGCTCTCAGACTTCTTTCAAAATTTTACTTTCCTTCAAGGCCATCCACAAGTTACATTACCATATCTGTATCAATTGTTCCTCACGTTTCTCGAACATAATTTTATTTATAGAGAAGGAAATTTTGAGTCGTGTAGGAAATTATTTCGTAAATTGCAATCTCCCTTGATAGTATCACAGTTTTGAATTAAAAATGAGATACTTTTAAATATGTTTAGTTATGACACTCTGCTCAGTTGTAAAGTCTACGGTTATTCGTACAAAGATTTAATTAATTGGTTTTAGGATTGTTTCCTCGTTTCAGCGTCGATTTCAGTTATTCATGACAGTTAGTATTATAGTAATGTGTTCATGTTTGCCAACGGTTCAGTCTTCCCAAGCAGTAGATCGAGGCATGGCGCAGGGTAAGTGCATGTCTTACTAGGCAGTTTAATATTTCTTTTAAAATATCTCAGCTGACTATATTCTGTACTTTTTATAAAACCTTAACCTTCTACCGCCGTATGTCACTCTCCGGGAACATAACTTTCAACTTAAAATTTTCGTAAACTATTGGGTGTAGCAACCTGAGGACGTTTGTACGCGACAGAAAACATTTCAAAGTTATCGTACGTGGTGCAAGCCATTTTGCGCTCACTAGAACGTATCCTATTTGGGAATTAAGTCGGCTTGTGACAGTATTGCTCCGGTTACTCATGTCAAGCGGATATACAGGTTTGAAGTATGAAATAATATTATTTATGTATGCGTTCGATGTGCTAACCTTATTTATGCTCCAACTGACTACCTTCCCTGGACATTCACTGAAGCAGTTATAGGCTAGCTTTATATTAACCGTGATCCCTAATTTCCCCAACACCTTTTCCGCTTCAACTCACTGACGATGAAATGCCCACCAATGTGCAGCGTGCCTCGTGTATCCTCTCATACCCACCTTCATTCATCACCATTTTAAGAATTCAGTACTGAAATCAATCTCCCTACAATCTCGTTTCATTAAGGATATGCTATTCATTTAAGATAGTATATATAGTCTTGTATACTCAACTCGTTCATAATGTTCTAGTTCCATCATCCATCATCGTCACAAAGAACCAAATTTCTGATCATGTCAATTTCCCGACATGTGCTCAGTTTTGCAGCTACGCTTCCGTCTGTATAATTAAAACATTCATCGCATGAGCACACTAATAACTTGCATTGCATGATAGACAGGTTAAGCTGCCGTTGCTCGGGATAGGCAATCACTTAGGTTTGGTCGTCCTCTTGGCTTACTGAACGATATGGCACGATTTTATAATAGATATTCAGAATTTAAATTTTTCCCTTTTTTCTCTATTTCCTAAATTACCTTTTTCAAATTAAAGCAAAACTCAAACATCAAAGATATATATAGAGATGATAAATAATTGTATTCATAATTATAATTTGCACCAAATTTACACATGGCGGATTTTTTGTCATAGTTCCGTGTCCGTTTTGTCCTGACGGCGAAGACAAGATGAGGCGAGCGACGAGGTGGCGCAACGGACAAGGGTTCTCGAGGCGTGTGGACCTGTTCCCTGAACACCACGCAGACTGCCAGGGCCATCGCTTCAGGTAGCTCGCTAAACTGTGTTACTTACAGCACCATTTGCTGCAGAAAGATGTTTCGCTGAATTTAATGTTATTTGTTGAAATAATTTAGCTTAGAAATTTTTGGTATATATTTATTTAAATGTATATCTTTTAGATATATTTGTAGATACTTTAAATTTGTCTATAGCGAAGTTTACCTGAGAAAAAATTCCCTTTACTTTTTTTCATGTGGAATGGTTGCTTCGGTTATGTTTATTTCACATGTATGTATCTCTTTCAGAAATATTTGTGGATACTTTCAATTTGTCTTTAGTGATGTTTTGCCTGGAAAGATATACCTACTGTTTTTTTCATGCAGAACGGTTGCATGGTTCAATTGACGATCCCCAAACTGATAAAACCAACTTCAATGTTCGCTGCGTTTGCTGGGCAGAGCCGTGAGCCTGGACTACCCCCCCTTCCTGGACTACATCAGGAGGGGGAAGAATGAGCCTGTCCAGCAGCTGGACTCTGTGGACGTCCGTATCATTGATACCATCGCTGCCCAACTCAACTTCACTTACGCGGTAACAAACAAAGGGATTCCTACAGAGCGCCAATATATTACGTAATTTCCGATTGAATTACGTCATTATCACTGCAAGCAAACAGACTCTCTGGCATTTGGTTGTTGAATTTACTTGAAACTTGACTGTCAAGTTTTTGCTGCATAGTATTTCAAGATTTTTAGTCTTATGCAGTAATCTTACAAGAGATTTTCAAGATTAGGTCGTAGGGTAAATAGGAATATATCTGTTCTATTTATTCAGAAGCCCCGTAGCTGACATTTGGAGATATTAATTTTTATTGTTTCAGTAGACTGATCGCGAATTTTGGGTAATCAGCTTTTCTATTATTAATTATTTCAGTGTATCGTAGTGCCCCTTAACTTTCACCAAAAATCGTCATGCCACCAGTTGTTGCCAACTGTGTTTAGTCAGTGCATTCGTTCACATGTATCTGATCAGTCATAAAATTTGTAATTTCCAAAGCGATTGCAGAAATTTTGTTTGTAAAATTTTATCGTTGTGCAAGAAAAATTTGGCGAGATGTGCCACCCACGGTTTAGTGCATGGATCATTGTCCGTTTCACGCGTTTTTTGTCATTCCCTACATCAAATCACCAGTGACAGACTCTCTCAGTGAGTGTTACAAACAAGCAACTTCATCTAAAAAATAATCGATGAACTCAACTGGCTTGGTGATACCCTCAAGAACAACGTCAAGCTCTGGACTATACGCAACAATTGATACTGCAATTAAACGGAAGTTCTCCAAGACGCCGATGTAGTCAGTAGATTTTGCTTCAAAGAAGGTTGTAGAATTCTTCATCATTTGAACATTGGAGTAATTGGACTAACAACCACGACATTGAGACCGTCTCACCTGCCACCTACAGTCTGGAAGACAGAGGAACCCCTTGAGACAAGCTCACAAGACCGTCGCTCGCACTGTGCTGGAGGAACCCACCAGCATCTTCATCATGCAGTGCCGTCCAATATTAACTGACCGACGATTGCTGGAACCCTTATCTATGAGGGTTGGACTCCAGCATCTGTTTGCAAGCTACCGAAATTGTCTGAACTTTGAGATAATTTTCAGAGTCATTTTCTGTTTTAAAATTTCCTTGTTGTATCCTATTTAAGTGTATTATGTACTTATGTCCACCAAAATTTCATTGTTCTATAGTAATTTGAAAATTAATGTTGATGCATTCGAAACGTCGTTATATATATATTATAAGCCCTTGCTGAGACCTGCCTTTTGATCTATTAACGTCATCTGAAGAATTTTTTGACTCCCTGAAAATTGAAAATTGAAATATAATGCGTTTTCTGGTCATTAATCGTACGTGTTTCAACAGAAAAATTCTGCCATCTAATGCTAATACATATATCTACACCAACCTGGGATGGTACGTGATTGAGTAGCTGCTTTTCTCTCCAGATATACGAGCCAGTCGACTGTCAGTGGGGTTATCAGCAAGCCAACGGGTCATGGACGGGAGTGATTGGCACCGTAGGGCGGTATGAGGCTGACTTCAGCCTGAACGTCCTCATCACAGGACAGAGGGAGGAGGTTGTGGACTTCACGGTCGGGTACCACCGAGAGCCGTTGACTTTTGCCATGGGCAAACCAAAGGTTTCAAGTGTTGGCCGTAGCACACTCTTGGTCTGAGATGTCACGAGTATAGTAGTATATGTAGATGAATAGTATAGACCGCTAAGTAGTATGGAAGTATAGTGTAAATTAAGCTTGTTGCGGGGCTCGAATACGAAAGTCACTGTTTTGATTTTGTTTTGTTTAACTGTCCGGCCTCCTCGGCAATTTGTCCGGAACTTTAGCAGGTTAAACTGAGATTGAACCTTCATTAGCCCGCTGTTCCAATCTTGATACTCTGAACAGTTACCACTGGGTCACCCTAAACAGGATTTAATTTGAATATAAATCCTATCGATTTGAATATAATTTGCTAGCGATTACTAAAAAAAACCTGATTGAATACTTCAATACCACATGCAGAAAATTTTACGAATTCATTGCTGAATAGATTCATGTGCATGTATCAGCATTAGTTGAAATATCGAATAACTTCTTCAATATCTGGCCACAGCCGCTACCTCAATGGCTGTCGCTGGTGAGGCCTTACACTCCGGTCATCTGGGCTGCGGTAATCCTCACTGTTCTCGGAGCAGTATTCGTCCAATGGGTCTTGATGGTGACCAGTGATAAGGTGGGCTTGAGCGATGCTGTATTCCAGGATTATCAAGCCGGAGAGCGAAGTGAGTTCGCTGCGTACAGGCAACGCACGAGGGCCCTTGCTACGTCCAAGAAAAGATCTGCATTAGTGGCCACCGGCCTCGTCGTACGCGGCATCCTTCGCCAAGTGAGTTGAAGCGTAGCAGAATTCATTTTTCGAAAATTAACTCTGGTTTTTTATTTTTCGACATTTAATTCATCTATAAATAACGTCAAAAAAAGTATCAGTCTTTATACAATCTACACAGAATGCACAGATTTGCCCACCAACCACTAATGTTGTTCGTCCCCGCTTCCTTACGTTCTCAACATTACCTCACAAAGTACTGTCCAAACAAATAATGTCAAAATTAAAAAAGACGGAAATAAAGCTCCAAGGTTCATTATCGACATTCATTAAGTTGATTTCATATCCTCGCCAAGGCTGCACAAATATTGAGGCATCATATATCACTTTCCTACAACAATATTCACGCAAAACATTTAAAATCTCAACATCCGCCTGTGAACCTTTCGACCAACTCACATTGCGCCCATCCCAATTAATGAAAAAAATGGACTGTAGATTTTTCGCCTATCCATATATAACGATCGACTCATTACCAGTCCCATTTATACTCGAGCAAAACTGTCGTAACTGTTATGCTGCTACAGCTTTTTTACCTCTTAATAAATATTTTATTCTCCTCTTTTCACGCCAATCTATGCCACCTAATTCCATCTTCCCACCGCTTCTCAGGAGCACCGAACTACAATAGAAAAGTTTTGTATCTATATTTTTAGGTTTCTGTTTCCCGTTTACAAGCCCGTAAGGACCAAAAGCAATCTGATAACATAACTCACAATACTTTAGCTGAACTGTTAAGCGCGTAGTATTATTAAGCGTTCGACAGGAGTAGACATTGATAGGCGTTTCACATTGCAGCTACTATTCTTCATCTTACATACTGATAACACACTGATCACCTTAGATGGCACTCGAAGCTACGGTTTTAGGTCATCGGTGAGTCATACAGTGTAAAGAATAGAATATGATTGCTTAAAAAACGCAACAGATACATTCCACTCAATTACTGAATTATTTCTGCGAAAATTTTCACTAAATAACTTCCTTAACGTTAAACATATCCTTCGCACAACATGAGTTTCTATTTCTTGTGCAGGACATGAACATGCCTCGCAGGCCTGCTGAGCAAATATTCTTGGGTGTGTGGCTCATCGTATCTTTCGTCCTGACTATTATTTACGTCAGTTACTTGACCGCCTTCCTGACGGTGCCCACACTCAGTCCCACTGTCAAGGACCTCGACGAACTCTCGCGCTCCCACTTCTCATGGGGACTGCAGGACCTCGGCGCTGCTGACTACCAGCTCTTCAAGAGCAGCGAGGTGTGGCAGTGGGATGTTCTTCCTTGAATTTTTGCGTGCCCCATAATTGAACCAAGCAATCTCTAGTACTTGTGATATATGCATAATTCAGAGTGAATACTTTGATTGTATTTTTTAAGGGACTAAATAGATGAAAAATATGAGCGATAACATTATTATGAGGAACGTTTTTAATTTTCGTGTGCTGAAAAATATTCAAAGCGATCAAATAATTTGTTCTCATATTATGTTGGGTTTGTTAGCGAACGATTTAGACTACCATTGAGCAAATTCAATTCTTAAGCAACGATTTACCACTAATTTTGGTACACTCACTCTCTCAAAGCAAAAGCAAACTATTCAAAGGGCTTGCACTTTTATTCAACCTCGTCAACGTCTAAACCTTTTGATAATTGCAGACGATTATTTTTCAGGTGCCTCTTTACAAGAGAATTTTTCAAAGTTTGAAGGTTTGTTCGACAATGAAGTCTTGTCTTCAACAAACCATAGACGAGAACTTTGCCTTCATATCCTGGCTGACGTACCTGCGCGATGCCATCGCCGTGGACTTCACCGACCGCAACGGAGACGCTAAAGTCATTCTGGCTCGAGACTCGTTTGCTCCTGCTGAACTTGGCTTCAGCTTGACACGAAACTCCAGACTGAAAGTATGGAATTAGTTCATGTAGATCATAATGATAATAGTAAGCTTCATGATATACGCGAATTATCATTTTCATATTTTTTTACCAAGTTGCTATAAATTATTATTGTAGGTCACTTATGTTGTAACTATATTGTTCAAGTTTTGTAGGAACCGATGAAACTTAAATATACGTCATATAGGTAATAACCTGAAACAAAACTGTAAACAGGAAATTTAATTATCTTAGTTTCTACGAAAATGCCATAGGCGAATAAACAGTCAATTTGTGTTTATTTTTTAGGCTCACATGGACGTGGTTATGCGTCGGCTCATGGAGGGGGGCTTGGTGCAGAAGTGGCTCTCAGAGTTCATTCAAATGCACGCACAATTGGGAAAGCAAAAAGCTGTGAGTAACCTGCGCATAGACAATATATAATAAGCATAAGAAATCTAATATACAGTATATAGATTCATTTTTAATTAGACCTTCACACATTTTTCCATAAGAACAGTTACTAAATGAAATAGTATGAATAAACCTTTACATTCTTCACTCTATCTAGTCTCTATCCTTTCTTGCAGCTGCAAGCTGATTTGGCTCTTGTGGGCGGTGACCCGAAGCGCCTGGTGGACACGGACGGAACGGCACAGGCCCTGAGCATGTATCACTTACAGGGCGTGTTCATGGTCTACTTATTGTGTCTGGTCTTTGCGGTCCTTGCTTTCGGCTTGGAACATGCATTAAAGAAACAACGGAAAAATCTATAAACGACTTCAGTTATGAAAATTTTGTAAGAAGAATGCAAGGAAATCGAAGTCCTTCTTGAGTCAAAACCACGAGTTACGTTCACAATTCGCAATGACTGAATGAGTGATGTAATTCTCGCAGTAAGGATCGTTCTCTACTGTCAATCGATCATGTCGTAACATGGCTCATGTTATGTAAAGCTAGCAAAGTTTTTGATTGCTTTCATGGCTATAATGACTACATCGACAGTGCTTTACAGCTTCAGCATTTAAAAACCACAATGGATACATAAAAGCAGTTCTTGATTATATAGTCTATTAGACCATTACTGAATGACAACTATCCATATGATGTATATGTTACATACCACTCGATACCAGTGACTCGCAGTGAGCATCATTCTATGCTTTTTGAGTAAAAAATGAGTGCAATCAATATATGATATAAGTAATCTTTGATTTACAAAATAAACTTCATTATGCATAAATATTTGTGAAATTGTTTCATTTCGTAAGAAGGATAATAAATGTGACGCAATACCAACAAGTCTTTGGTTAACTATTGAACCTAGAATGAAACAGCTTAGGTTTCTGTATAATTCTTTTCTGTAGAATACGTAAGAATGTAGTTATTCACTTCAGGTTTGATGTCATCTATAGCATTGCTTGGAATCCCGCAATATCGGCGGTGAAATTCACTAAACGGTTGANGACCTCCATACCAAGAGGTCCAAAACTACACAAGCTCTCAGGCCCAACGGTCATCCTTGCGGTTGTCCTGTGGCTTTAAGTCTACCCTGCGTGGACATCCTGAAAAGAAGAAGACGACAAACATTCTGTGGAAGCGAGCAAACGATCGACGTTTTTTTTCCTGTACAGACTTGATCCAACCTGAAGGCTGAACGTGAAGTTCGTGAACCCAGTTCATTCTTGAGTAATGAGTACGCCGGTTGAGTCTTGACTCTTGAGCGATCAGTGATTCACCAGTAGTCGGCTTTGTAGTTCGTTGTGTAACGCTCGCACTGCGGCACTGATTAGTGATTGTGCGTTTCTGCCTGCTTTTTGAGTAATAACCTTGTTTTTATAAATTATATGCATACGCACTAGCTACATTGACACAGAGGATAACTTGATCAGTTGATGCGAAAAAGAATAAATAATTGAAAATTTAATAAAGTTGTGTTATATTCTATGAAAAGTTGGTACAAAATGCATTCGCATTTGTCATCCTAAGGCAAATTATTATTTTTTTTTGTCTAATGTCGGTCACTGTGGTCTGTAGACAGTGGACTGAGAGAGTCAGTTGCGTTGGAAGCGACAGCACGTGTTTGAATTGCGTTCTGTCAAATAACCGGTTAGCTAATTTTGCAACTTAAATTCGTAGGTACACCACTTGAAGTTAAAGTTATAAAATCATTGTGTAGGCCTATTCCACCATAGAAATTCATTTTATTTTCATTAGAAAAACCCTACTGGCTTTCTCCCACAAAGGTTTGCCAGTCCTTTTTTTTTCTTTTTACCTATTTTTTTCCTCCTTTCTTCTACTTTTGTTATTATTTATTTAGGCTATTTGTTATTTCTTTTTCCTCTCTTTTCATTGTTGTTATACTTAATTGCATTTAAAAGAACTGCATCTAGAGCTAGTCTCTAGAGGCCTAGACGCTTCCTTGAGCAGTTCCTGTGATGCCGGACATCAGTCTGCATGTCTCAGGGATTCTTTTGCAAATATTCCTTCTGACAGTGACATTGATCTTGCCAGCAATGATAAAGTGACAGTTGCAGGCTGCAAAAAGCGAGCACGTGAAAGTGATATCATAGGGACAGCCAATGATGGTGAGGATGTTGAAGCACTTAACTTGGCTAAAAAAATTGCCTCCAAGTACCCCAAAGAAAGTGGCATGATAGAGACAACAGATCAGATTAATATGTTTATTGACAGTGAGCAATCTTTTGATGAGACAGCAGATCATACAAGCGTGGAATTCGGGGCAAGACGTCATAAACGCGTCACTCCAGCAATGAATGCCACGAAATTGGCCGGGGGGTGTTCGAATCGAGGTCGCTCGGTACAATATATGCCGTGAAGGTACTTATAGACCTCAATCATGTCACCTCGACAGCGACGGTGCTCAAGGCTGGGCAATTCCAGGGTTCTCAGTCTCTCTTCACAAGACCTGCCCTTCAGTGAAGCCAGCAGTTTAGTGGCACGTCTCTGGACATCCTCCAGCTCACAGCATAGTTGTTTTGTCTGGGGGTTATACACTGAATGACCATACTCAAGGGCCGGTCGCACTAGGCTCTTATATAGTGTCACAAATGTTTTTTCCGTCAGGCAAGTGAATGAGCGGCGAATGATGCCCACAATTCTGTTAGCTTTCGATGTTGCTTGAGCCACATGTTGATTGAATGATAGTTTATTGTCTATCGTGACACCCAGATCCTTCTCAGCCTCGCTTTCTGCCAGCTGAAGAATGCAGTCGTCGCCGTTGGCATCCTTGGACTTCATATAGTAGTTCGCATCAGATTTTTTGGCACCAAGCTTGAGTACGCTGCATTTTTGAGGATGAAACCTCAGAAGCCAGTCGTCAGACCACCGCTGGAGCTTGTCGATGTCATTCTGTATTTCAGCTGTGGCGCCGGCTATGTCGCTTCTTTGATAGACCTTCGTGTCGTCTGCAAACATTTTCACTGATGAGCTAACGCTGTCTGGCAGATCGTTGATGAAGACGACGAACAGTAACGGCCCGAGACAGCTGCCTTGCGGGATCCCGCTCCACACAGATGCTTCAGTTGATGGTACGCCATTGATAACTACTCTCTGCCGGCGATCACTTAGGAACGCACTGATCCAGGAAAGTATTCGTCCACTTACACCGAGCGCTTGAAGTTTCAGAAGGAGTCGTCGATGCGGTACGGTGTCAAACGCTTTCTGAAAGTCTGTGTAAATGACGTCTACGCTACCTCCATCATCAAGAATCTCAGTCCATTCATCAAGAGTCTCCAGCAGTTGGGTTGTACATGAGCGGCCAGCGACGAAGCCATGCTGCTCTTTACAAATGAGGTTGTTGGCTAGTAGATGTGTGGTCACGCTGTTTCGCACCAGTTTCTCCATGCACTTGCACAGTATCGAGGTCAGGCTAACCAGCCGATAGTTGCTGGCATCAGATCTGTTACCTTTCTTAAAGATAGGTGAAACTACTGCTTGCCGCCAGTCATTCGGTATTTCGCCAGACTCTAGAGATTGTCTAAACAGAAGGCAGATGGGTTTGGCAAGAATGTTTGCAGCTTTTGCAAGAACAAGCGGGCTTATGCCATCAGGGCCTGGGGCTTTATCCACTTTGAGGTTTGCCAGCACTTTGCGAACGTCTTCCTCTTCAATGACGAAATTTTCCAGTGTTTGTTCATGGGGGACAGACGGAGGGGGTGGGAGAGGGCCAGGATCTACCTTGGTGAAAACACTTTGGAAAAATGAGTTAAGTAGCTCTGCCTTCTCCAAGTCATTGGAAGTTTTGGTGCCATCTGGTTTCTTGAGGTCTGCTACTCCTGAACGTGTCTTTGTTTTTGACTTCACGAATGCCCAAAAAGCCTTTGGATTCCTTTTTGATTCTCGGGCAACACTTTCTTCTTGTTTCTTTTGCGCTGTGCGACATTTTTTCCTTGCTTGGTTTCTTGCCTTAATGTAGGCTTGGTAGTCGGCACCAACACGAGTCTGAAGCCATCTTCTAAACAGCTGGTGCTTTTTGCGAACTGATGCCAGTGTGCTAGTGTCCATCCAACTCTTCCCTCTGCGTCCCGATGTTGATGATTTAGGAGTCGACTTCTCAACAGCTCCATGTAAATGTTCCTTGATGCGTAACCAGACATCGTTCACCGACAGCTCGGTGAGCTCAGTAACCCAGTCCACCATCTCCAGTTCTTGGGTCAAAACTGTGAAGTCTGTTTTCTTGTAGTTGTAGCGAGCTTGTCGGGGCGCGACGTCGTAATCACAGTTTACATTGATGATCAACAAAAAGTGGTCACTTTTCCCAACCCCAGCTGTAGTGGTGACGTCATTGATCATATCATCTCGGTTTGTGAAGACTAGGTCAAGTACGTTGGCTTTTTGTCCTACACGGTACCGTGTGGGAAGTTTCTGGTGCTGCAGAAGAAATGCGTCTTTTGTGGCTCTGAGAAAGACAGTGGCGGGGTGCGCTGGTCCTGCTTCACTCTTCTCTGTGTTCCAGTCCAATTCCGGGAAATTAAAGTCACCCATAATGAGAAGGTGAGAGGGTTTCAAATCAGCTGCCTGCTGCAGGAGTTTATTGAGTTTGGCTGTGTTGTCCGCAGTGCTGCTGGGGCTTCTATAGATTAGTCCAATGAGAAGCTGTTCATTGCCAGAAAGGCGGCACTCGACAAATACTGACTCTGCGAAATCACTGTCCAAAGAATCACACACTGATGGCTTCAAGTCACTTTTCACATATAGGGCTATACCTCTGCCTGGTTTGCCCAAGTTATGAAATATCTCATAGCCCTTGTAGGCAACCTCACACTCCTCAATGGTGAAGCGATTATTCTTTGGTTTCACTTCGGTGATGCCCAGCACAGCAGGCTGGTGAGTTTCTATCAGTGCTTGGATTTCATCTCTCTTGTTCATCATTTGGTCCACATTGCTATATACACAGGTAAATTTTTTTACATTATTGAACAAAGATGTGCGATTTTCAAGATCCGACGGACGTTTAAAATTATTTACATCTTTCGCTATGCTCTTCTTCAACGGTCTCCTTCCCCCTGACGGGGGTACCGGCCGATGTTGACCACTCGACCGTTCCTCCTTATCCAGTGGGCATTCTCGTCCCCCGACTGCTCGGACTGTTGTCGCTTGGCCTTCAGCTCTTCAAACAGCCTATCTTCTTCTTTCCTCTCCTGGGGTGTCAAGTCCCTCCGCAGAGCAAGAGTCATACACAGCTTAGCGTCCGTCTGGTCATTGGCTGGTTCCTCCTTCCTTGCTCTGTGGTAGGCCCTCAACACTTCATCCCTCATTGTTTCGGATGAGAAGGTGAGGCGTACTGGACGATGCTTCTGCTCCTCTGGTTTGGCTGCCTCCGTGAACTTACCGATGCGACGGAGCTCCAACGGTTTATGGTCAACTTTAACCTCCGTCAGCAGTTCGTTGATCTGTTCTTTTTCTTCTCTCAGTCGGGCCTCCCTGTCCTTGTTTTTGCTTTCCGGAAGATGAAACAACATCAAATTATGCTTTCGTTTCATTCTCTCTTCAAGTTCTGTAATGTGCTCTTTGCCTCTTGAATCTAATATGCCCATTAATTCCTCCAGCTTTTCTTCAGATGGTTGTACATGAACTTCTTCCTTAGTTATTTCTTTGACTGAGTCTATCATTTTCTGGGTGAATTTGCCTTCACGTACATCAGTTATCTTCCTTTCTACCAGTGCTACGTGCTCAGTTAGGTTGTCAACCTGCCTCTGAATTTCAGTCATTCCATTGAGAAATTTGCTGGCTACTTGGTTGCATTGCTTGGTGCAGTACCAATGTAGACGGGGGCAATCCTTTTTACTATCCTTCAGGATGAATTCGTATTCATCATCTTCAATTTTTTCGCACGAGGTGTGGTACCATTGCTCACAGATTTCGCATTTCAGCGCCTTGTCTCTCGCAGTTACGATTTTCGTACAAATTCCACAATCTTTCGCCTTCTGCCCGAGTTGGGCTGAGGCCGTTCCCCTCCTAGTTGATGTCATATTTTCATTCAATTTGGCGATGGAAACCTAGAAAAGGTGTCACTCACCGTTAGGATCTTGGGATTTGATTAGTTAGTCGACTTATGTTATACGATACAGCAACTTATCTGCGTCAGTAATTCAGCAATCGGACGAACACTTTGGATTTGTCGCCATCTTGATTGTTGTCGGTCGCTCACCTCACAAACAAGTCTTCAAAAAGCTTACAATTCAGTTAAAAATACTCGATTCCGTTCAGATTTATGGATATTGGCTTCTTAGGTAGATAAATAGTCCACTTAAAGCGGGATTACTTCATTTGGTACTCGAAAATACTGACAACACCAGACAATTTAGAGAGCGACCCACGCACGTCCGTCTTCCACCGTAGCCACCGTCCGTACTGCCTGAATTGATCTGGTCAAATAAGGTTAAAGCATCATGAAAATGTATGGCCATGTGTTTAAACTATGCCACTGAATTCCTAATTCTAGAATTTATTAGTTAATTGAGAGGTTAACGTTAAACAATCAGTTTTAGCGATTCAATAGAAACGGCGATGATCAACCAAAATATGGCAACGTTTTCACGCTAAATTAAAATAACATTATTATTTTCCATTGCATGATTGCGATTGCGAATTTAAATTAATTTCAGAATTCCTTCGAGACTTAGTAGAATATTATGGGACTCTACATCCCTGGCTGTGCTATTTTCGCAAAAATTTCCAACTCGAATGTCACCAAAATATTGCCTTGCACAAGTTATTGGCTGCTCACAAAAACGTTACTGCCGCCGTCCACGCCAGGTCAAATTGACCAACATAGTCGATGATAGTGTAGGGATTTTCACATGAATTATCAAACTAATCATAATCAAGTTTGTGGATATTAAATAAGGAACAGGTAACTTTGGTATCTAATTGATCTTGAAGAAAATTAATCACCATAACATTTCCGGGCTACATATAAGATATAACTCCCTCTTGCAGTTAACGCCGAACACTCCAACAAAGTGGCATCTCTCACCGTATTTCACTTATTCAATTTCAAGGCAAGCAGCACATCTCTTTACGCACGCTTGACCCACACTGATCGCCCTCTCATCGGCCGCGCACTCCGCGCACCCCGCGCTCTCAACGCCCGCCTTTTGTGCACGCGCGGAGAAATTCGCGAAGCTTCCAAGAAGTCTTCTTACGAGTCTCCACTGCACGGTTCCTATATGGTCTAAAAACGAGCAAATATCTCAATATAACGGCCTATAACCCAATATAAACTAATATATTTGTAGGTTCCGGTGCAGAAATTCCATTTTTTATGGTTTTCAAATTTAATTAGGAAGTACCTCTATCATAAATTTTAGCCGGCGAACGACATTGAAAAGACTAAATCGCGGAATATGTCCGGAAAAAAATACCGTATGGCAACCCTGTGGTCTCCAGCCCCGTCGTTAGCCTCAAGTCTGGCTGGTTCAACTCCTACATATCATTCTTTCACGAAGCACTTTCGTTTTCACATGATCCAAACTCGAGCGGGAGGTTTAATGAAATCATGCACAAAGTTTCATTGAAATCTGTTCGATAGAATAGGCAGTATATCTTGGTAAGTTAGATCAGAAATCCGGTCGCAAAAATGTCCGATTGGTATTAGTGGATGTAAAAATAAACCTGTAGCCCTTAATTTTCTTCACTTAGTTTTCACGAATATTTAAGAACGCCAAAATATTTAAAAACTCTTTACTTAAGATTAGTGCTCACGAAAGTAACATATCTTAATGCTTTAATAAAATAAGTTGATAACTTTTGTTTCATTACTTCGTCATTATTGCGTTTCGAGCACATTTTCTATTTGATAAATGAAGGAATTGTGTAGGTATAAAATATTCTGAATAATCGTGCGTATCGGGACGTCATCGGTTTGGTTAGAACTAAAATGCGGCAGGCCCGATTAACCGTGCATGATTTATTAACTATGACACGTCAGGTTGTTTCGTATATCCTTCATATAAGTATATAAGCAATTATTTCAATTCTCCGTAGCAGACTGTATTCTCAGAAGTCCACCTTGGGGCTGCAACAGACATGGATGATATTAAACGTTGATGGAGAATCTTATGCCAGGTAATCTGATGCCGTGGTACTTTCATTTCGGCCACACTTCGTCAAGTCGACAACCCGCGTGCCTGTTCATGTTTGTTGATGTTATGCCGATCCACTGCTTTTTTAGCAGTGCCAAGGTCGTGCATATTTTTTACATTTGATGCATTTGATGGGCGAAAACGGTGCAACTCTTCGATGGGCGATTCGGTGCAACTCTTCCACTCGACAACACTTCTCGCTCGCTTCGAGTCATCGATATATGTGAAATAAACTCCCTGGGACCATTGTTGACGCTCCGATTATAAATGCGTTCAAGAATAAACTAGACAAGGCTACGCATTAGGATTTATTCAGTCTTTAAATGCCTAGCACCCTATAAAACAAATGAATGTCCAGTAATGATTTCAAACCTCCGTCAGTTGAAAAGATTAGGTCAACAGGTCAGTTTTTAGATCTGCAAACAATTCACGATAAATACAAGAATCGGCGACAGGCCTAACCAAGCCTATTCTTCAACGTCTAAGATACTATACTATATACTATACTATACCATAAGATACTATACCATAGCATCTATAATATACCATATATTATAGATACTATATAATACCATAAACATGAACCTGCCAGCAGTAAACGAAACTCGAATGGTTGATGCTGCCCTCTCCTCACACGAGGTAAATCGAAATGGATGTCAAGACTACGAAACCAGTTCAATTATGCACTAAAGCAGACTGTAATTCGTATGTGAATATTAAAAAATCAATATACCGTTTGCTATTTCACTAGCTGAGAGAGTGACACATATTAAAAATATTGCAATTTATACCGTTAATGAGGCTTCGCTTTGCAATAATGTAATATATAGTAGCAATTCTCGTATATAAATTCGTCTACTCGTGAAGACTATATAATAATGCTAACTTAACTACAAATTATCAAAACATTGACATAAATGTCAATCAATGGTAATTGCACTACTATAAACATTTTCACTATCAGAATGTGCGCGCGTAGGTCTACTAAAAAAACGTAGGCTCGCGTCCAAAAAAGGTTCAATTGTGAGCGAGTAGTTGGTGGTATATCCTTATGTATTTACCAGCAGACCTCATTAACTTTGACTCTGTAATGACTGTATCCTATCACCCCGTGTTGAGAGAAGTCCGGAGAAAAATGCGTTTTCAACTTTTCCTCACGCGATTTACGCCCCCCGGATAACACTAATCGTGTCCTATTTCACTTGAATTGCCAGAAAAATACTTCATTTCAATCAATGAGAACCAACAGTCTGAGGTATCAAGGAAATAATGCATGGAGACCTCTGCCTAATTGTGTAAGCGACATAATTGATTATATAATGTGCAGGGGCTGAGTTACGTGCAGGGACTGAGCTACGTGCAGGGGCTGAGATACGTGCAGGAGCTGAGCTACGTGCAGGGGCTGAGCTACGTGCGGGGGCTGAGCTACGTGCAGGGGCTGAGTGACGTGCAGGGGCTGAGTTACGTGCAGGGGCTGAGCTACGTGCACGTAGGAACGAGCTTATGTGACAAAATCCTTTACTTAATTTTTCACCGAAACATACCACGCAAAATAAACAGCCATATGCTTGCTATTATCTATTTATAACTAATTTATTTCATTATACCTAATTTAATTTAACGGATACTAAACAATACCTACTGAAGTTGAATGAAAAACTTTCACCTGCTCAAAATCGGTTAAATATTAATTTTATTGACATGCATCATAACTCACGGAAATGTATACATATTATACAGGTGCAGTTGACCATTAACCAATAAAATAACAAATTAACATTTTTA